TAATTTCCTTTTTGGAATTCCAGGGCCAAGTTCTTGTCACGTCAGATTACATCATCATTGTTTCTACCTCACACAGTGACTGATAAAGAGGTCATTTTAGATAGAAGCATCAGTTTTTCCACTTTCTTGTTCACATATATGTGCTTTATTAGTATATTATCTTCACAGGTAACTTTAAAAGCATTTGTTCATTTTTTAAGACTGAGTTTAACTAATAATAGGTACTATAATCTAAACCTCTGAATTTAGCACCAACCCTAGAAAGCTGAAAGCAAATGAAAATGTGAGGTGCTTGGAAGTACCACTGTCAAACCATCAGTGTTATAAAATTCCTACTCTTCTGCTGAAAAATGACTAGCACAGGGACTGTGTGAGGGTGCTAGGGTCAATCCACAGTATTTCTAAAGCTCAATTTCTTTCCTTTATTACATGAAAAACAAGATAAATACAAGCTCCAATATTTCTCCCCTCACTCAATGGGCCCTCCCGTAAATCCTACTTTGACAAGCCATTATTTCCCAAAGTTTGCTTTTACAAACACTTCAGAGGATGGGGGAAGGTAAATTTAATGTTCAAATGCATACAAAATATAGACTTAAACCAATTCCAAGGTCCCTAATTTTAATATATTACAGTGTCCATTTTGAAGAAGATAACATAATCAGAATCTACAAGTTCTTTTAACACAGAATCATTTTACACAACTCTTTTTTTTTTTCCACAGAAGACTCTCACAAAATTGGTGTTTCAAAACTTTGAAAAATGTTGACCCACATGAACTGGTTTCAAGTTTCAGAAATGTAATGAAGATGTAAGGTACAAGAAAACCACTTATAGTGAAACCTAATAAGTCATACCTTACAGGTAAGGCAAGAGTTCTCAGGGCCAAGTCTTTCAAGGAAGGAACATTCTAAATTATAATTCTAATCATATATTCTTTTTGGCTCAATAAATGCTTCCTGAATGGCAAGTATGGTAGATATTATATCCCAGATAGTTTGTGAACTAAAGAAATAAATTTGAATTTAATGCTTAGAATAGCTCCATGTACAAAGTGGGAGCTCAAATATTTGGAAATGATGGGAATCTACGCCCAAAACTGAGAGCACACTGTATATACTGTATGTTAGCCAACTTGAAAATAAATTATATTTAAAAAAAAATTGGAAATGATTACATATGTGTTCTACATACAGTTGACCAGGTTCAGACTACATGGATGTTTTCAATAAATACAATACTGTAAATGTATTTCTCTTCCTTATAAAAGAGAAACTATTTTCATAATAACATTTTCCTTTGTCTGGCTTACTTTATTGTAAGAATATAGTGTATAATACATATAACATTCAAAATATGTGTTAATTGACTGTTTATATGATCAGGAAGGCTTCCAATAAACAGTAGGTTGAGTTTTTGGGGAGTCAAAAGTTATACATGGATTTGAGTGTGGAGGGTGAGGTGGGGGGAGAAGTCAGTGCCCCTAATCCCCACATTGTTCAAAAGTCAACTGTATTTGTAAATTTATCTATATGCCATAGGTGGGTGGAAAAGGTTCCAGGGGTAAATGCAAGGTGGGTTTTTTCTGATCAAATGCAGTAATATAGTTTTAAAAATATCTATGTCATTTTCCAACCTCTTTTTCAGTTTTGTAGAAAATTTTTTCCTTACGTTTATCTTTAAAATTTTATTCAGGGGCGCCTGGGTGGCGCAGTCGGTTAAGCGTCCGACTTCAGCCAGGTCACGATCTCGCGGTCCGTGAGTTCGAGCCCCGCGTCAGGCTCTGGGCTGATGGCTCAGAGCCTGGAGCCTGTTTCCGATTCTGTGTCTCCCTCTCTCTCTGCCCCTCCCCCGTTCATGCTCTGTCTCTCTCTGTCCCAAAAATAAATAAACGTTGAAAAAAAAAAAAATTAAAAAAAAAAAAATTTTATTCAAAGATCCTCAACTGTTACAATGAAATACCAGACTTCATGTTTATGTAGTTCACTATGCTGGAAATGTTTGAAAACATTTCAACATTATACTGAATTTAAAATTTTTATTGAATGTCTTGATTATATACCCTCTAAGTCATTCTTATTGAATTATGTTAATATTTCTCAATCTTCTAAAAAGTCAAAGTCTCCTTCTAATAAAAATAACAAAAGCTTTACACTCTTTCAAGTTTATTTATTTATTTTGAGAGACAGAGCACAAGTAGGGGAGACGGGCAGCGAGAGAGGGACAGAGAATCCCAAGCAGCCTCTGAGCTGTTAGCACAGAGCCCCATTACGGGCTCAATCTCACAAATGGTGAGATCATGACCTGAGCCAAAAAGCAAGAGTCAGACGCTTTACTGACTGACAGGTGCCCGACAAAAGCTTTATACTCCTATAGTTGATCTTATACTATAATACTGAGGATGTTTTTAAAATCTACATAGGTGCCTCCATTCAATCTGATATACTCCCATGGGGGAAAAGAATTACTAAATATTCAAATAATGCAATGTGATAGATTATAGTCAATCTTTATTTTTATATGAACAAAATCTTTCCAAAGATTACTATATGGCTCATTACTATAACTACATTAGTACAATGACTCACCAATGCTATGACAACCTTAATGAAGGTTGACACCATGAACTGCCACTTAATGTTAAAAAGTCTTAAGGTAGATGTTTTTTATCATTATGTCCCAATAAGAAGTTCAGAATACAATGTATTCATACTTGTACTAAAAAGAAAATAATATAAAAACACCCTAAAAACATGAAATTAGGAATATGTCTTCTATACCTACCAGGTGGATATAGTGCCAATGCTGCTAAGAATATGAACTTTGATACTAGCAAAGTGCCAGCTCTGATTGATTTTTCTTTTGGTAGGAGATCATCATGGCTAGGTACTAACACTCCTTCCTAGCTTTCTTACTTTCCTTTATTCCAATGAAAAGCTTTACTGCCCACTCTAACAATTCAATCAATTCACACTCATTATGATGATTCCAACAATCAAAAAGACTTTATACAGAAGAAAATTAGAATAAAATCATTCTAGCTCCTACGCAGTGTCCAAAAATAACAACTGTTAAAGTATTTAATCTTAAGTTTGGACACTGGTTTCCAATCTTTGCCTGTCTTAAACAATAGAGAGAAACACTACTGTATATCTAGCTTTGGGTTTCTATGATACATCCTTAGATACAAGACTGCTGGGTGAAAGGATATATCCTTTATACACAATATATCCTTTTACACAAATTATCAAACTTCTCTCCAGAAAGGTTAGATCTCCTTATAGCTTATGGAAAGTATGGTCTTTTGTTGTCCTTACTGTGATAAAGAAGAAGCCAGAAAAGTAGACTTTTATTTACGTGTCTCAATCAAGAGACAACATAAAATATCCCTCTTGGATTATCAGACACTGATTCAGCCTGTTCTCTTCTTTTAATTTACGTTTCCCCTAAAGCATAACCAGAGGCTGTGAAATGAAAGCCTGGCTGGATGCAAATGAACTTTGACTTGCTTTACTTAATCCACATAGTGTAGCAATTTATAAAGTCTGAATGTCTTTAAGAAGAGGCATGTGCACTCCAGTTCATCACAGTCCCTACCATTTCACCTTCAATTTCAGCATTCTGCTCACTGAAGATGCCTAGTTGGCTCTGTAGGAATTTGCTACCTCTCATGCAAAATAACTCAAATATCATAAAGTAGTGGTTTGACAGATACTAATCTGTGACACCTAAATCTGTATACTTAAGGCCAGTCTTAAAAAGGGATTCTTTCTTCCTAAATACTGTATATCTAGACAAATGTTAAGCAACAAAGTAGGACACAAGATATCAACTGTTAAGTATTACTGCCCTTAACTTAGGCTTCACTGTATTTTCAGAAAATCATTATATTTTCCCTTACATCTCCAGTATTTCAAGACCCAAGATCCTTAGCCCTTTTAGTATTGTTAATGACCTGCAACAACATTTAACAGCATGGCTCCCAAACCAGACTACCTGGGTTCAACACCTGAACTGGTTAATTAGTGACTTGTGTGACCTCAAGTAAGCTAACCTCTCAGCTTGTATTAGTTACTTCAACTAAAATGAGGACAATAGCAGTAATTACTTTCTAGGGCAGGTATGAAGACCAAATGCGTTATTACGAAGCACTCAGAACAGCGCCTGGTACACAATATGCATATTACATGTGTGTATATAGCATAGCACAGCATAGCATAGCATAACATAACATGATATATATAGTATACACAAGATATACTTCAATATAAATGGTTTAAAAACATATACAGGCAGTCCTCACTTTCCATGTAGTGTGAGACCATAAAAATGCCCATAAAAGTTGAAACTATGCAAAGCAATCTTTTTTTAAAAAAATATTTTAAAGTTTATTTTTATTTGAGAGAGAGAGAGAGAAGAAGCAGGGGAGGGGCAGAGAGAGAGGGAGACAGAATCCCAAGCAGGGTCCGCACTGCCAGCACAGAGCCTGATGCGGGGCTTGAACCCACAAACCACAAGATTATGATCTGAGCTCAAGTTGAGAGTTGGACGCTTAACCAACTGAACCACCCAGGCTCCCGGAAACTATGCAAAGTAATCTTAATAATCAATGGGAGGAATTACCATTGTTGCAAACTTAAAATTTCTTCTCGATACATTAAAAAGTCCCATAAAGGTATAGAAAAGTGGGAAAAATCAAATTAATATTAAGTACACTGTAATTTAAAACATTGGAAACACTGAAAAATAAAGTGTTTTATTTCTTTGAAAAATTTATCAAGAGTATTTTGAACAGTGGTTGCCTTCTTCTCATTGTTTAACTTAGGATACACAGTGAACATCTTCTCCATGTTTGCCAAACTGTCGTATTCTTTCCTCAGTCTAGATAACTCAAGCACCTAATAGCAGGTACATGACTGCTAATGTCCTTTTAAAACCTAAGAGTCTACAAAACTTAAGAACAAAGATATAACAGAATGAAGATAGACATGAAGACTTACATTGTATTGATGATTAGCAACAGGCTTATAATTAGTTGTCACCACTTTGTCCAGTTGCTGTGATAGTCTTACAGGTTTGGAAGATTCTTCTATTTGCAATCTGAAAAAAAGAAGGCATTGTCAACAAACTTATTTATTAGAGGGAAACCTGAAGAGTTATTTCTACAATTCTTCTTACTCAAGAATACTTAATATATTAAAAAGTAACCTCAGAAGATGTACTAAGCCTTAATATAATACTTCAAAAACACACTGAATGTGTATGACAATAATGCAGAAACCTGAACATAGGCTAAACATATAAACCATCTCATAATTCTACAATTTGCTTCTAATTTTACACTGTATAGTCAAGTCTTAACTACTAAAACCAAAGAAACTAACCAGCTTTAAATTTCTGGGGAAAAAAAATCTACCTGTAAAAACGAACTATCTTAATTATATGGCATTAAACTAATCAAGTGATTAATTCAAAATTCTATTCACTCGATAAAAGATAAAGATAAATAGAAAGATAATATGTTGACACTAAGGTCTAATGATTGCTTTATTAGACAGCAAGATATAGAACATTTCCGCCATCAAAGAAACTTCTCTTTGACAACACTGGTATAGAATGCAGACCTCCATCTAAATTAAAATATAACTCAATAGGGGCGCCTGGGTGGCGCAGTCGGTTAAGCGTCCGACTTCAGCCAGGTCACGATCTCGCGGTCCGTGAGTTCAAGCCCCGCGTCAGGCTCTGGGCTGATGGCTCAGAGCCTGGAGCCTGTTTCCGATTCTGTGTCTCCCTCTCTCTCTGTCCCTCCCCCGTTCATGCTCTGTCTCTCTCTGTCCCAAAAATAAATAAACGTTGAAAAAAAAAAAAAAAATATAACTCAATATACCACTTTTGGGAAAAGCTATAAACATATGACTTTAAATACTCTTGTTTAATAGAGCAGGAACTAAAAATAATTTTCATTTAAAATCTCTTTAAAAACACAACTCACAGTATAAAAAGTACCTATTTTTATAAAATTCTTATTATTTTATTTCTTGCATGAAGTTATCTATTTGCTTCTGCCTGTTTTAGGTATGTAACACCTAATTACTCAGAGGAATTTAGATATATACCAGTTGCTTTTTTAAGTGGAAAAGTTATAAATATTACAGGTTTTGATATTACCGTGATTCCCGAATACGATATAGTAATTCCTGTGTTCAAACACACATATTTAAATTCTACCAGTTATTTATAAATCCCAGCATGGAGCATAGAGCCCAGTGTGGAGCTTGAACTCATGACACTGGGATCAAGACCTGAGTTGAGGGGTACCTGGGTGGCTCAGTCAGTTGAGCATCTGACTCATGATTTTGGCTCAGGTCATGATTCCAGGGTCATGGGATCAAGCCCTGTGTCAGTCTCCGCACTGGGCACGGAATCTGCTTAAGATTCCTTCTCTCTCCCTCTGCCCTTCTCCCCAACTTGCGTGCTCTAAAATAAAAAACAAAAAAAGACCTGAGCTGAGATCAAAAGTCAGATGCTTAACCCACTGAGCCACTCAAGCACCCCAAAATGATTATTTTATGAAGCATAAGAAAAGTACTCTAGAAATATCTTTAGAAACTTACTGTATATGTAACCATAAGTCATACATACAATGTTACTTTGCTTTTCATGAGCCAAATATACTTTCTATGGACCAGGAAGAAAGTACTAGCTAGAAGTCTAGAAGGGGGGTGTCCATCCAAAGATGGACTTGGACTTCTATTCCTTCAGTAGCCTCTCAACTGCTCTTGGACAAAGCACCAGCTCCTTCATAGGAGTTCATGTCCCTCTGGGATCTAGTCCCTGCTTATCTCTCCAGCTTTATCCACATTCTCTCACATCTGCATCCGACAGCATGCAGCTGTGCCATGACCAGATTTTAGTAGAAGCCTCTGGCTGGCAACCACTCAGCAAGTGTTTACTGGGTGCCTATCTCTGCCAGGCGCCGGGTTAGAGGTTGGGAATGCTGCAGTAAAGAACAGATTTACTACAGTGGAAGACCAGCATTAAACAAATGCTTACCTATAACTCATTAACTGCAGTACTAAAATGGAGCAGGGGACTGGTATTATGACAGCTGATTGCATGATGCTATGAAGTACATATTAACCCCAGTGTGTGCACTTGAGGGTAAACTAGAGCAGGACTGCTCATGCTTTTGAGAGGTGAGGCAAGGGGCACTTGAGTGGCTCAGTCGGGTGAGCATCCAACTTCGGCTCAGGTCATGATTTCATGGCTCTTGAGTTCAAGTCCCATGTCAGGCTCTGTGCTGACAGCTCAGAGCCTAGAGCCCGGAGTCTGCTTTGGTTTCTGTGTCTCGCTCTCTCTCTGCCCTTCCCCTGTTCACACTCAGTCTCTCTCTCCTTCAAAAATAAACCTTAAAAAAAAAAAAAAAAAAAAAAAAAAAAAAAAAAAAAAAAA